ATTAACTTGGTTATATTCACCTCCCTCTCTTTCATCATTACCAATTAAAAGGAAACAACATCTAGTCAGGGCGAATTCTCCAGTTAACTGTACTATCAACCACCATGTCCTCTGACAGGGCTCCACCAATACCTCCTCCACCCGCAAAAACGTTCAGTGAGCTCCTAACACAGTAAAACTCGGCTCTTACCCCTGCAGCCACTGAAGCTACTACTTTGTTTTTTCGTTTGTTTTTTTTTTTAAAGATTTTATTTATTTATTTGAGAGAGAGAGAGAGAGTGAGAGACAGAGAGCATGAGAGGGAGGAGGATCAGAGGGAGAAGCAGACTCCCTGCTGAGCAGTGAGCCCGATGCGGGACTCGATCTCGGGACTCCAGGATCATGACCTGAGCCAAAGGCAGTCGCTTAACCAACTGAGCCACTCAGGCGCCCTGCTACTACTCTGTTTTTTATCCTCCAAAAGCAAATGTCTTCCACGATTTCCACCTCTACTTTATCTCATCCTCATTCTTAGTTCATTGCACCAGGATTTCTGACCCAACTAACTCTACCAAAGTGGCTCTCCTAATGATCACCAATGACTTCCCTAATTACTAACTCCACTCTTATTTATTCCCCAAGTCTTAATATTTTCTCACATCTCTGATCAACTGTTGACCTTGCTTCCTTCAAAACTTCATTTTCGGTTATATGTGTGAACTAGGCCATTGCAGTTTACTTGTCCAAGGTCACCCACAGGCAGCAAGTTACAGAGATGTAATTTAAATACAGATACGCCTGTCACCAGAACCCAGGTTCTTAACCACTCCTTTGAATTGCTTTTCAAAAATGAAGCAAAGGCTACTCCATGGAAGAACTGTAACCACAATCTTGTTATTAATAATGCCATTCTCCGATGCAGGTGCAGCAAGCGATGACCCAGAGGCCAATCCAGCCCATTGCCTATTTGTGTATATGAAGTTTTATTGGAAGTCAGTCATAGTCATTCATCTACCTATTGTCTGTGGCTGCTTTCACACTATAATGGCAGAGTTGAATCATTGTGACATAGATTGTATGGTTCACAAAGCCTAAAATTTTTATTATCTAGTGCTTTATAGAAAAAGTTTGCAATGCCTATTCTAACCAACTGTTTTTTTAGGTTCATCATTGGCAAATCTGAAGGATGATAATAACTAACTCACAGCATATCCGGAATACTCTAATGACAGCAGGCATCCCAAAATATGGACTACAGTCTAATCCATTCTCTTACTCTAGTGTTTATTTTGGGGGAAAAAAATCCCACCCCTACTCTCACTCTCATGCCACTTCTTTCCTAGAGGATGTTTGCTCCCCTTGTACACACCCCATCTCCCACCACTACAAACAAGAGGCAGATGTCTCCTATTACAACCAATCTGAAAGCCTATTCCGTGAGTTGTCTGTATCATCTGTTAACATCTCTGCCATTCTCCCTTCAGCCAGGCTTGGATCTCTGAAATCAGCTTGTATGTCTCAACTCTTCTCTTGCTTATCATTCCTATTTATTCAACCCACACAAGAGCTTCCAAGCCATTCCTTCTTCAACATTTCCTCTACCTAATCATATCCTGGTCCCCACTGCCTCTCACTCTATCAACCCAACAGCCTCACAATTCATTTCCCATGGCAATATTTGTAAGTGTCTGGCATACAAATGTCAGATACGGCAAAATATTTCTTAAACAGAGATCTCTTTTTAAGACTATTCAATATCGGGGTGCCTGGGTGGCTCAGTTGTTGAGTGTCTGCCTTCGGCTCAGGTCATGATCCCAGGGATCCATCAGGCTCCCTGCTCGGTGGGAAGCCTGCTTCTCCCTCTCCCACTCCCCCTGCTTGTGTTCTCTCTCACTCTGTCTCTCTCTCTGTCAAATAAATAAATAAAATCTTTAAAAAAAAAAAAAAACTATTCAATATCGTATTTCTACCCACTAAGGCAAGTCCTCAGCTTTGCATTCAAATAGATTACACAATATGATTCCAATCTATTCCTCCAAGCTAACTTCACACTATGTTTCTTGGGTATTTCCTATGCTTCAGGTACTACATAAAGCACTGAAAATAAAAATATGAGAAACTCAGCTCCTGTCCTCAAGAAGCTTAAAATCTAACAGGGAAAACAGATACAGAGAAAGAAAAAAAATACCCCATACAAAGTAAAGTGATTTAAGGAAAGGTCTGACCAGGAAGGTATTGAGTACAAAGAGAACACAAGAACTAATTCTGCCATAGGGGCAGAGAGGATAAGGTTTGGGGATGGCTTCACTATCCTCAGAGAAGAGGGAGTAAAGAAGCAAGGGTGGGGACAGGAAAGGAAACATAAGATATAGGATGTAGGATCTCTACCATTTCTCAACCTTTTTTCTCCAGAGCAATGTTTTTAAACCAGACACAATTTTGCCCCACATGGGGCATTTGGCCATAACTCAAAACATTTTTGATGGTCACACCTGGGCAAGAGAGGGTGCTACTGACATGTAGTGGGTACAGGAAAAATGATTCTCAACATCCTACAATACACAGGACAGCCCCTCACAACAAAGAATTATCCAGCCCAAAATGTCCGTAGTGCTGAGGTTGGGAAACCCTGCTCTAGAGCCATAAGGAAAAGAAGTAAAGGGGAGGGACTCGCTGACAGATTCTGCAGGATGTGTTGGACTGCTGACAATACAGAGATAGCAAAGAAGGAGAATGAGTTATGCCTGGACAGCCTCGCTCACTAAAACCACAAGGGAGAATGCAAAACTGAACGGAGGGCAAAGGTGATTAATAAATGTTCCACATCTAAGGCTTCCCGAACAGGAATAGATCTGATCACCAAGCCAAGACAATCAACTATGAGGGAAGGGAGAAGACCCGGGCAAAGAGGCTGAAGCAGAGGCCCTCCGAGCTTTCTGTTACACATCATCCAATTCAATGCATATTTATTGCACAGCTGCTACTAGATGTCATGAGGGAAAGAGCAATAAATAAGTCACAATCCCTGCCTGCAAGAAGGCTGAATTTCAGTGGGGAGAATCAGAGAAGCATATAAGTTATTATAACACAGAGGAAATTAAGATACATGTCATAAGAGAAACACACAGCGGTTCAAATACACACATCTTTCAAAGATTCAATGCAGTCCTAGGAATAATTCCACTTAACATCCTCTTGATCTTCTAGTGAAAGAAAAGAATCAGAGGAGAATAAATTCCCTATCTTTGGGGCGCCTGGGTGGCTCAGTCGTTAAGCGTCTGCCTTCGGCTCAGGTCATGATCCCAGGGTCCTGATATGGAGCCCAGCGTCCAGCTCCCTGCTCAGTGGGGAGTCTGCTTTTCCTTCTGCCCCTCCCCATGCTCATGCTTTCAATCTCTATCAAATAAATAAAATCTTTTAAAAAAAAATCCCTATTTTTGTTTGCAAGGCTCTACATGTCTGCCATAATTAACAAAATTAGCAATATATGTTTTTTTCCAAATAGCCCAACTGCTAACACCAGTCTAACAAGGAAAAGGTGGGATTCTTTCTATACAGTATTCCCATAAAGATTTCACTTTCCATTGAGAGACCATGAAAAAACTTAGTTCCCAAATCTTAGAGTCAGTCCTACACCACTGAGAGGCTCTTAGTTATGTTTTGTTTTGTTTTTTTAAACTTTGGGTGGGTTTTATTTCTCCTGAGGTTAAAAAGCCATCCAGAGGACAACTCTTTAAATATTCCCCTCAGAAGGAGCCTCAAATTCAACATGAGAAAATAGTTAGAGAAATCCCTAATGGTCCAGCCAACATACATTTTTCATAAAGTGATTACCCTCCTGCAGCCTCAGTTTCCTAAGCCTTTCCCCCCTCCTATAATTGTTTTCCTTGTAGGCCAGGCAACAATTACCACTGCTACAAGACTGAGGAGGTTCACAAGCAATATATTTTACAATACATAAGTGTAGTGTCTCTGATATCTGGTGCTTTTATCACTAATTGCCCTATAAAATGCACTATTAAAACAGGGACAAACAAGATTGTAAAAATCACATAATGGACCATGACCACTTACAAAAGCCATTCATAAATGTTACTGTACCATTTATTTTTCTTTAATTTTCCAATTGTATAATTAAGTTTCCAGATTTTTATTTCTAGGTGATACCAACAAGAAAAAAAATATATTTGAAAACTATATAACATATATACTTGCCCTTACATATACTATTTTATAAATTGGCACCGAATTAAAATTATATAGAACATCAAACAATGTGCTATGAACACTGAATTGCTAGGGACGTCTATATAATCTCTTGAAAGAAAATTATAAGCACAGCAAATGCATTTAAGTTGTGATTTCTATTCAAACTTCAGAACACAGGACAGAAAGCATGAAAGAAAATGAAGAAGGATTTCATAATTCTGATCTATGAAACATACAATACAACAAAGCCAATAAAGCATTTAATATCTTGGGGAAAGACAGAATGATCAAAGATTACTGCCAATTCCTAGAGGACATGGGTCACTGGAACCACCTACAGCATTTTATGTCATCAGCACTGACCACTGATTCATGGGCAAATGTTCAAGTTTGCAGATGAGCCTTTCAACCTGTTTGTTATTTAGCCACATGTCTAACTATTTAAAAAAAAAAAAAAAGGAATCCAGAATAAGAAAATGAAAATGATAGTACTTGTGTTACCTACTAATAATTCTAATGAATACTTAGATGCAGCTGGGAATTTTAAGATGTGACTCCGATGAAATGCTGGGACTGTCTGTAAGTTTCACCTAGACCTTGCCAGAGACAAGCGACTTCTAACAATACCACAGAACACAAATACCACAAACCAAATAGTGGCTGGCCTCTATAAAACTGAAGACAAGTAACCCATTAATGAATTGGGATTATTTGTTCTTCTTTTCATAGGGTAATCTTCTATTAACTGAAGAAGTAACGGATGTCGTAATGGGAGTATCAGTGGGGAAAGTGTGATTGAGCTTGGGTCTTACAGTGCTCGTGTAACTCCGCCATACCTATTCTCAAATATCCTCCTATATCTTCATAATGGCCTAACCTTACTAAAATCAGAATCTTTGACTTTAAAAAAAATGAGCAGCCACAATTAGAAACATCTTAATTGTACCTAAATTATTATTTTTTCTTCCTAGAGATATTAGCTAGTGCTCAATCTTTCGACAGGAAGACTGTCAGAAAACCATAAAGACAGATTACATGAAAAATGTTTGCTCTAATTTCAGATTCAAGTCCCTTAACTCCATAGGAATCATTTTAAAATATTTTAAGTGGTAAGAATAACCTACTTTAAAAAAAAAAAAAAAAGCCAAATACTTGAAATATGCAAAAACGATGTTGGACAGACCTACACAAAATCAGAAGCTTATTTTTCATCAATGTCATCTCCCAAAAGTTATTCCTTAAGCCATGCCAAAACTGTGTTATGAAACGGAGTAGGGATGGGGGCTACACACATGAACCCACACACAGAACTTACTTTGTCAGAGGCCTCAGAAGCCAAGAGGTTAGTTGCAAGAGTCTGTAGTTTATGATGGGCCATGTTTTTAAGAGCGGCCAGACTACGCCGTGTCATGGCCTGCTTTAGGTTGACTGCCGGATGACTGAGAGAGTCAACTGCAGCAGGAACTGCTTCGTCGCAGGCATTTAGTATCTCCACTGCTGTGATCCCCATCACACAGCGATCCAACGCTCCTGGAAGACGTATACATTCACAATTAGTACATACAACACTATACCCGCTGAGTCATTTTTTAAGGAAAGAAAATGCATAGACGTTTTTTATGTGGGGGTATTTTTCTCTCTGCCTCCCAGAAACATTTCCTTGTGCTTCCCTCCTCTGAGGATCTTCCAGGCAACATTACCTTAGCCGTTTCTTCTCCTGTAATGCCCCAACCGCAACTTCCCAAGAAAGCCAGGTTCAGAGCCGAGACCTCAACAACATCCCCCAGGCTTTTCCACTGTCTGCTTCCAAGACGATCTTCTTGATACTCCCTACCATTACTCTACTACAAATATCAGTTTCTATGATTTCACCTTCCTCTAAGTTGCCTATCAATCACAAACAAAAAAGAGCTAAATTTTGCTATTCTTCTCATTCTTTCTACTTTAATAATTCCTGGAGCTTCTCTTTCTCTAGGGAATCTCCACAAAGCAGGAAAAAAACTGTAACTTCTCATTCTGTCTGCAAATGTCTTGACTTTTACTGTTTATACCCAATCAAATGTTTCTCTGGGTGTTTATGAAAATAACTACTACTCCAACCTATGACCACTTCCAAGCTTCTTCATTTAGCCATTCTTTCCATTCATCTCCACCTATGAATTTCATGTCTAAGCTAAGGCACAACTCCTTCCTACAATGCAGACAGCTTTTCTCTATACTTTGTTTTAAAGGGTCTCATTATATGGATTTGTACATAATCTTCTGAAGATTATAATAAGGACAGTGAAATGATGAAGTTTATTTTGATCCACTGAGCATTCCTCCAGTCACTCTAAATGAGGACAAATCAATTTTGAAAAATAGCCATAGAGAACACCAGAAACATAAATGTCACCAAAATGCAAGATTTCTGTTGTGTCTTTGAGCTAGTACCCAAACACCCCAACATATTTTATTCCCAATATTGAGTATTTATATACACGCCATTCAAGTTTGCCCCTCCCCTTCCTTAAAGGGCTTAACTTCTTTTCTTTCCAATAGTAGTCCTGGAATTAATTCTTGGTGATTTTAGTATTAACACAAATCAGTGTTTTACTAACCAATTCATTGAGTCTTGACCAATGTATTTTGGAAGGCAAAGCATAAGGAGGAGCTGTTGCCTGAAACTTTCTGTGTATGTATGAAAAGGAGGGTGTGTATACTCTAAAAGGATTTAAAAGTTCAACAATGTTTGAAAATCACCAGCACATATGATTCTTCCACACATCCCGATCGCCTGGCTCTTTGAGTTCCTCTACTCCAATAAATTTTGCCCTACACTTGATCCCAGACAATGGTCACATTATAAACTTCTCATTACCAGTAACTAAATCCTAACATGATCCCAATGTCAAAAATTCCACTCTCTGATAGCAGCTCCCATTCTTTACTTCAACCCTATGACCCAATAATTCCTTGTTCAGCACTGACTCCAAAAATTCATTCACCTATCATGTTTGCCCTGCCCCTTACTTCCCTATGTCCCATAAACTAAAATTCCATCGTCCGTCCTCATAAGCACAGCTCTGTCCTCATCTCACTTCCTTGTCCCAGCCGAGCAAACTCCAACCTTGGTTGAATCCAACTCTCCAGCTACTCCACACCTGTACAATGAAGATGGATATGAATGAAGAACATGCTGAAAGATCCACTTGAAATTCATGACCACTGATCTCAAGGGGTCCTTAATAGTGACCGCATTTCCACAGATCTTTCATTTTCCTACTCTCCTAGTTAATTATTTCATAGCTTTTCTCTCCTCCAATCTCCAACACTCCATTTCCTGCCCTCACCTGGGTGAAAAGTTTTGTTTCTTATTTCATTTAGAAAGAAGCAATTAGAAAAGAAGTTCTACCAGCTCCCACCACATCTCCACTCACATTACTCTATAATTACACATGAACTATCCAGACACCTACCTAACACACTTGTAGCTTAAACCCCATCTCTCTCTTGTCTGCCCACGGACATCATTTCAGCAACTCTCCCCTTTCTCTTCATCTATTTTCCCTACCCACTAGATCATTACCACCAGCATATGATCATTCCCATCAGCATATAAACGTGCAATTATTTCACCTGTTTAAAAAAAAAAAACACAGACCAATAAAAATGACAAAAACAACACACTTGACCCAGTATCTCTCTCCAGCTGGTATCCCATTTTTTATCATCCTCTATATAGCTATCTACATTTGCTACCTACAAATTTTTCTCTTCCCATTTTCCTTTGAACTTACTCAAATCAGATTTCACCCCAAACATGCACAGAACCTACTCTCCATGTTGTCAAATCCAATATTCAGTTCTCAGTCCTCATTTTACTATGATTTACTATCAGCTGCACTTGTTCCTTCTCTCTACTCCTTGAAACACATTTTTTTTGCTTGGCTTCTAGGCAACCACACTCTTCACTTTCTTCTTCCTGGAAAGTCCATTTTAGTCTCCTTTGCTGGTTTCTTCCACATCACAGAAATATATCTAAACCGTGTGCATCCTCTTGGTGATACATCCACTGTCATGACTTTGAGTATCTTCTACATGCTAAGAAGTCCCAAATTTACATCACCCACTCTGGTATCCCCAACTTGAACTCCTGACTCATATACACAATTTACTCATCAACATGTCTACTTGGATGTCTAATATTCAACTCAGTATTTAAAAAAAAATTTAATTCTTGGTCTTTCCAAAACCTGCTTTTCCCATTGTCTTCTCAATGTCTAGAAATGAATTCCATCCTTTGAGTTGCTCATGATGAAAACCTTGGAGTCAACTTTACCCATCTCATTCTTTTATGCCCCTTATCCAACTATCAGCAAATCCTGTTCACTCTCCCTTCAAAATATACCTAGAATTCAACCACTCCTCACCAGCTCCACCACTACCACTCTGGTGTAACAATCCATCATCTTTTATTGCCTAGAGGCAATCGCATAAAAGCTAATCTCCCTGCTTCTACCCTTTAACCACCTTCAGGCTATTCTGGATAAAAGGAGGAAAATATATGACAGTGAGGACAAAATTCAAATCAATAAAAACCAACCCAGAACTGACACAGATTTTTTAAATAGCAAACAAGGACACTGAGAGTTATTATAATTGTATTCCAGATGTTTAAAAAGTTTGAGTAGAGAGACATGGAAGATACCAAATGACCAAAATCACACTTACAGAGATGAAAACTACAATGTCTGAGATGAACAATACACTAGATGGGAATAATGACAGATTAGACATTGTAGAAAAGAGACTAATAAACCTGAAGACCTAGAATAGAAACTATATACAACACAGAGAAAAAATAATTTTAAAAAATGAAAACACAACCTGTGATCTGTAAGCAATTTCAAATAGCCGAGTAAATATATAACCAGAATCTCTAAAGAGAGGAAAGGCAGGGAAGGATCGAAAACATATTTGAATGAATAATGGCCAAAAAGTTTCCAAAATGGTCGAAAATCACCTACCAACATATCCAAGAAGTACAATAAACCCTTGGCACAAATATAAAGAAAACTACAATCCAACTTCTCAAAATCAATAATAAAGAGAAAAAGAATACTTTTAAAGCTGTTGGAAAAAAACAGACACAGCACATATAGAGGGACAAAGCTAAGGGTGACAGCAGATTTCTCATTGGAAATAATGCAAGACAGTGGAGTTTTAAAAGGAAAAATAAAAAACAACTGTCAACGTAAAATTCTCCAACCAGAATAAAAATCTTAAAAATGAAGATGAAACAAAGAGTTTTTCAGACACACAGAAGTTGAAAGAATTCATGATGCACAGACCTGCACTACAAGAAATATTAAATATTAGGCAAAAGGAAAATCATTCCAGATAGAAATCTGGATCTATGCAAAGCAACAAAGAGCAATAGAATGGTAACTACATGGGTAAATATGGAAGATTTTGTTTTTATTATTCAAATTTCCTTAAAAGAGACTATTTAAACAAATAAACAAATAGAAAGAAATAATGTTCTGGGGCACCTAGCTGGCTCAGTTGGGGGGGAGCGTGCAACTCTTGATCTCAGGGTTGCAAGTTCAAGCCCAATGCTGGGTGTGATCACTTAAAATTAAAATCTTAAAAAAAAAAAAGGAAAGAAAAAAGAAAAAAAAGAATGTTCCAAATGAGTGAAAACCATGAGCAACAATATGGATGATATAAAAGATAAGAAGTGGTAGAGAATGGCCCAATTATTCTTCAATATAATTATTCTTTGCACAGAGCAACTGGTCTGTGTAAAAGAAATGGAGAGAAATACAAAGGTAGGAAGATACCACACTGTGAAGGGCCTTGTCTTAAAGGCTATAGGAAATAAATTTTTTTTCATTAAGACCGTACATGAACCAAGTATTGTTGCTGTTGTTTCATTTCCTAAGATTAATTTTCCAGCAGAGTACAGGATGGATTAGAAGGTAGAAAAAGACAGGAAAGCAAATAAAGATAGCCTAGGTGTGAAAAAATATAGTCCTAAGTTAGAATAATACTATGGAAACAAAAAAGGAAGCCAAGGGGTACCTAATGGGAGGGATTTAGTAATTATTAACTATATAGAGGGCTCATGGTGGGGAAGGTAGCAAAGATGGTTATATTTCCACTGTAACAACCTCTTCCTTCAAAATTCCCAAGTGAATCATCCATAGGGAAAAAAGAAACTCTGATTACATTGGTTTTACTATGATTTTGTAAAGGTATCATTTTTTCTTAACCATTCCATCCTTTGTGCCTTTGCCTGTCCTATAGTATTTTTTTGTAACAGAATGAAAAACAGAAATGTAGGAGATATAGAAAAGTTGATGATGTAAGCCATACGTTGTGAAATAGAAACATAAAATCAAATTTCCACTGTACTTAAATACAGCAGGCAAAGGGTCAAAATGTGAAGAAAATACTTGCTACTAAACCCTTCTAATAACAAAAGATTGGGCAGAAGTACCACCTCCTGATTCTCTCTAGTAATTTTAGTAACAAGACAAAACTAT